CCCCCCCCCCCCCCCCCCCCCCCCCCCCCCCCCCCCCCCCCCCCCCCCCCCCCCCCCCCCCCCCCCCCCCCCCCCCCCCCCCCCCCCCCCCCCCCCCCCCCCCCCCCCCCCCCCCCCCCCCCCCCCCCCCCCCCCCCCCCCCCCCCCCCCCCCCCCCCCCTCCCCCCCCCCCCCCCCCCCCCCCCCCCCCCCCCCCCCCCCCCCCCCCCCCCCCACCCCCCCCCCCCCCCCCTCCCCCCCCCCCCCCCCCCCCCCCCCCCCCCCCAACCCCAAAAACAGTTTAGACATGATGATTTCGATAACACGGTTTGGCTCCCCTACAAATATGCTCGGGCTGTGCACAGACTCAAGTGACAATGGTTGGAACGTATAACCAAAATGGATCTGTGTTGTTAAGAGCAATTACAAACTGTTCTTCGCATGCCATGTGTGCTTGGACAATCAACCTCCCACACTTCTTTCTGTTCTTCAACAGTCCGTTGGCCTCGAATTAGCGCCGGGCGCATTTCGCACCGACCCGGGAGCCCCCCATTTCTTCCGCTATGTGCGCACGGACTAACCGACGTTGGCAACCCACAAACGATGACTCTTGGCGCATCCGTGACTTCCTACCTGGGACTCGGCTTGGCCTTCCCTTGGCTCTGGGCCTGTGAAGGATCAGATGGCTTGCAGTGAGTGGCAAGAGTGTGGAATCTGAAGGATGCCTCTGGAGAAATTCAGTTTCAGGTCAAAAATACACTGTTATTCCAGCTTGCATGGTCTACGTCTTGTTGGGATCCTGCCTAGCATCAGATTGCAATTTCAATCTCAACTGATGCTGGTTAACGGTTCTTATCTTCAGTTGTATGCAACGCTGCAAGAGGATTCCACTGCGAGCGCCTCCAATTGTCAAAGTTTTCACCCTCACCTCTCAGGTGCATGCTGGGCGTATGCGGTGGTGGCGAGTGTGGAGGCAGCATATGGCATTGCAACGAATCAGATCGCTCCTCAGCTGTCAGTGGAGCCACTCTTTGCAGCCATGGGGCTCACCGATACAAAGTGCACTGCTGGAGGCTCCCCCACTGCGGCTTTTGAGAAGCTTGTGACTCTTGATGGCAGCAGTGGACTCAGAGGAGGCAGTAACCAGGTAAGGCAGCCATAATGAGGTTTTTGTGATTGAAGTGAGGTTGAGACGAGAGGGGCTTAATCATGCGCATTTGAAAGGTCTCCAAACTGGTGGTTAGAGCCTTTTAAACAACCCAGTTCTTATTCTGATAAATACTTGGCATGCTGTTTGGTGGGTGATGCATTGATCCGTATCCTGCTGTACGTGGCTTATGTGTTTTCTTTTACCCAAAAAATATGCATGGCAGGGTGTATTGTTGCCAAATCCTCTAGCAAACTCCAGTCCCGTCTCTTTTGATTAAATTCCTTCAGTTTGTTTTCCTGTTCCTAGGCAACACCATATCCGGTGCATGCATTTGAGCGGGCGTACTTCAAAGGGTATGAGGGTCTCATGCTGGCAGTGCGGCGGCCAGCAGTGGTGGTTCACATCGAGGCCTTAGCTGACACGTTCATCATCTATGATAGGGTGAGTCATTGCAGCATTCATTGCTCATATCGTGTATTGCACTCTCGTAGGACGACACGTACATTCATAATCACACATTGCACAGCATTCTGGAAAGCCTTTGGTTCTAGCATTGGCTTCTCATGTACTCTCTAGTTATACTCTCTGTTTACCTGTATGCATGTCCTCTCCCCTTTCTGTCTTGTGGTGCCACTCCTTTAGGAGAATGACATGTACATTCACAATTACACATTGCGCAGCATCATGGGGAACCTGTGGTTCCAGCATAGCTGCCTCTACATGTCCTCTGTATTTACAATTGATGTATGTCCTCTCCCCTTTCTGCGTCAGACATTCAAGTACCAAGATCCTGCTTGCTACACTGGCAGTCTGAACCATGTTGTACTCGTCATTGGCTACTTCATTAATAGAGATGACGGCAGCCAGGGACGCATTGCTCCTCCGTTTTGGATCATCCGCAACTCGTGGGGAGTTGATTGGGGCGACCGTGGCCACATGCGCTATGGGCATTATGGGAGGGGATGGCGTGTGCGGCATCAACGTATTGCCTGGCATCTACCCCTGTTGTCAAGAGTGAGGCACCTACCCCATTGCCTGGTCTAAGTGTACCCCGTTATCATATGTGGTGGTGCACCTTAAACCAGCTTCAAGTGCAATGTCAGGTGTGGCACATTTTTCAACCAATAGCAAGAGTAAGGCATCTGTCCCATTATTAAGAAGCGGTCTATCCCACTGTCAAGAGTTGGCCACCTACCCTTCTACCAAATGAAATCAGCAGTGCAAGCAAGGGAATGAGGGGCAGTTGGGTGTTGTGCCCCATGTTTCTTTTGCCTAGTTCATCCTCAAGTCTGTTTTTAAGAATCGAGTTTCCTTCTTTCTTACCTACCTAGCAGTTGCAAATGTTGAGTGTCAATGCGAAGGGATGGCATGAAGGGGACCTGGACATGACCAACCCCCCGTGAGGCTGCTGAAGTAGCCACGGCATCGGAATTACAGTGTGAGAGTATTCTGGAGCGTTCGAGTTCGGAAGGAAGTGCATTGAGACAGAAACCGAGGAAATGTATCGGTAACCGCTTTTGCAGATTATGTTTAACATTCGAGATTGTGGAACCGGTTCCTTTTAAATCTGACTCATGAAGGTCAGTCTTGTCACCAGTGCTCGTTCAGGTTGGTGGCAAGCTTGGAACAGCACAAGCACTTAGCGGTGCTTACACTTTTTCATCTTACACAGTTGCAGAGTTACTTGCAATTTTTTTGGTCCTACACTTGTCCACCTTACATATTAAGCATTTCATTGTAACTCTTTGCCACCTTTCAGTTCCAGGGGACCCCTGCAGGAACAAAGCTACAAAGGCGACCAGGATTTATACGGCATGAACCCCTGTGGCCGGTTCCCGTGTTCAAGAGACCAACGGAGGCCACAGCTGCAGCTGCAATATTTCTCCATTTCCTCAAGCTCTGAGGCAACCTTTTGTTGAGGTTGATAATGGATACGGCTCCAAAACATGTGCTTACGGTAAGATATGGTTGTGCCAGAGTAAGTTTCCATGCCTGCGGCAAAAGGAAGGTCCTATTAGGTCTTCGTGGCACACGCCTAGCTGGCTGAGCAGAGGCAGACTATTAAATCCCTTGTCCAGGTAGAGCAGGGAGGTTTTGCCACAGGAGAGGAAGCAGCGTCCTTAGCAAGATGTCCTGCCATGAGGCAATGTTGGAGCCATGGTCAGTGTTGTTAATGGCATTAGCTATGTCTGCCTGGGATGAGGATATCTGGTAAGTGCTTGTGTATGAGCACTTGCTGTGCTCGTGAGGATGGCACCTGCTGTGCTCGTGAGGTTGGCACCTGCTGTGCTCGTGAGGTTGGCACCTGCTGTGCTCGTGAGGTTGGCACCTGCTGTGCTCGTGAGGCTGGCACCTGCTGTGCTCGTGAGGTTGGCACCTGCTGTGCTCGTGAGGCTGGCACCTGCTGTGCTGGTGAGGTTGGCACCTGCTGTGCTCGTGAGGTTGGCACCTGCTGTGCTCGTGAGGTTGGCACCTGCTGTGCTCGTGAGGGCGGTTTTGAATGTCATGCCTGATGGCCCCATTCTCGCACCTGCCAGAGCATCTTCGCGAAGGCTGTAACATATATGCATCAACAGGGGGTCCTGGATCCGCGACCCGGCCATGTTATAGGTGCACAATTCGCAGCTGGGTGGTTTGCTTGGATTGGAGCGCTCTCATTGGTGCTGTTTGGCTCAATCTTCCCCACTTTTCCCCACTCTCCAACGTGCACTAACTGTGGCAGTGGACGTGTGCGGGTCGTACTTCAAGAACCCCTGCTACGTGGGCACATGCATCAACGATCTCAAGGGCTCCTACTCCTGCATCTGCCCTCCCCAACCACATTGAAAGAGCTACAAATTACGGCCTTCCCAACCTGTGATCCAGGTGATGCTTCAACCTTCTTGGCTTTCATTCTTTCAGGTTGTTCTGTTAGGATTGTCCAGCATATCAAGGCTGTAATGGGCTAATTTCTCCCAAACCACGCTTTCCCTTTCTTTTTTTCCTTGGTGCCTCTGCCTCGTTGTACTCGCTCTCTACAGCGGATACCACTGCCACCAGCATGACGGTTAGTGGAGACAACTGGCAATGTTCGGATGTTTATCCGAGTGTTGGCATCTCCATGAACAACTTCTTTTCTAACAATCCGGTGAGAAAAAAATCTATAATCGTGATGATTGTGCTGGACACAACAATCCGTGTGTTTTTAGTTGTCCTCGTCAGCTGTGTAGTGTACGCAATTTTTTCACCCGTAGCATCGCGAATGCTCTGCATTGGTGAGCAACGCATATGAATAGACCCCTGCACTCACTCCGTCAATTTTTTGTGCGCACGTTTCGCAAAGCAGGGGATAAACTGCAGCCAGCCATTGGACAAAGGCACTATTCTTCAGCTTGCTGGTACTCCTGGCACACCTTGCACTGCCTTCTTTTACACGATCAAGGTGTGATCAGTTTGTCTCTTGATATTATCTCACCATGCTCTTAACAAACCTGTCTAGCCAAATGAGCACTGTTCCGTGCATCCCCGAGTAACTCATGCCATGTGCACTGTTCCGTGCATTTTTTCAATCCTACAGGGTGACACTTGCTCATCGATCAGCTCGCAACTGGATGGAATCAATCTGGACATTCTCAACCCCGGCCTTGATTGTTCGTCCAACAACCTAAACGCGGGTCTGTCGATCTGCATCGAGCGCAGTGCTGATTTCGCCTACAACGTCTTCGAGTGTTCGAGATACAGCACGCTGACTTCTCAAGACACGTGCCAGGTGCTGTTTCAAAGGGCCGCCAAGGAGTCGGGAAGCACCTGGGCTGATCTGTACCGCAGCAATCCTGGCCTCACTTGCTCCAGAACCATCCCTAGCGGGACTGAATTGCAGGTAAGGGTTGAGAGGTGGGGCCTTCTCTTTTGCCGAAATGGATCAAAGGTAGGGGGAGGAGGGGGAGTGGTGGGCCTGTGCAGAGAGAGGGATGGAGGGAGAGAAGGGAGTGCAAATGGGTGGAAAAAGGTGATCGATGGTTCCCGTGCCTAATAAAACTCGATGACCTCTTTTTTTTAATATATAATTGCACTCTCTTACATGTCGCATATGCTTATACAAGGATGAATGCGCTTACATGCACTATTCGATTGTAAGCACACCCTCGTTCAGCATCCTTGCTCGCTTCAGAAACAGGCTGAATTTCCTGATCTATGCTAAAAAAACAGTCCTTAAGGTTGTCCGATGCGGTCATTTGTTGTTTTTTTTTTTTTTTCTTTTTCTTTTATGTCGCATTCAAGCAATTCCATTCTGTCAAACCATGGAATTTTGACCTCATCAGCTTGATTTCTTTTTTTTTTTTTTTAATATGCCATGTACACCTATCAATGTCTTTCTTTTTGTGCCAGGTTTGTGTAAGGGCAGAGTATTGGTCATTCACTAAAGGCCAGTGCCTTATTGGTACTAAGACAAAAGTGTCGCCGGGCATGTCGTGTTCCATTGCAATTTTCAAGGTACTACGTAGATAAAGAGCAGTTTAAAGATTATAATTCCAAGTATTGTGTTGGTAAGGTAGGCAATGGTATGATCTGTGTGCCATAAGGTTCTAGTAGATATGCAGGGATTATCAGCCATCAACATTCTGCTTGTGCTTTGACACAATTGTCATGTCATTTATAGCTCCTGTGCTTTAGACTTTGCTTCGTACCGTAATACCTCGGATATAAGACTCGAGGGTATTATAAGAATCCCACCCCAAAATGGTCGGGGGGGGGGGAGGTCGGGGGGTCTTAACAGCTGGTTACATTCTATAAAATCCGGGTCATATCATGAGGTCATGTATATTGCTTGTGTTTTGTTAACCATAATGTCTTGTGCTTCGTCCTTAGCATTCAAAGTGAACACGCGGAATTAACTTCTTTGTTAACATTCAAATGAGTACGTGGATCGTGGACAGGATGATGAATATATGTGCTTTTGTGATGGCTGTTGCCCCTCGTTTATGAACATTTTATGGGATTTGGTGTGAAAAGGGTAGAGTAGCTATCAGATTTGCATTCATTGCCTATACAATGACCGATTCTCTAGGGGGAGGGGGGTCATATAATGTTAGTCCCCAATTAGGGGGGATAACTACAAACAACCTATTTAGCGTACCCCCCTCCGTATTAAAGACCCGGGGGTCTACAAATGGAGGGGGTCTGATATCCTAGGTATTACGGTAAATCCTTGAAACTTTGATGTGTGCGTGCCTTTCAAACATAGTTTTAACCCTTGCCACTTGTTGGGAACAATAAGTCTTAAGCGCCTCTGTCGTGTCAAAACACCAAGTCAGAAGCGAAGCGAAGCATATCGAAGCATTGGCGAGACAAACCCTCAGAGGTTAGGGTAACCGCCTGGAGGTTACGCGAAGGTCAAAGGTCAGCGACCTTTGACTTGACCAATACAGCGCGACAGCAAGGACACACAACTGACTCGACATTGAGCAGTTGCCCGAGTCGCACTGTATCGAATCGCAACAGCAAGGTAGTTAATTATATCTATTCGTATTCCTTGTACTCTTATATAAAGCTTTGTATCTGCCTGTTTCAATCAACTTACTTTGCCCTCACATACTAGCGCAAGGTGGTTCAAGATCTTTATTCAACGCTTCCGCTATTACAATCCTACTCAGACTTTAACTCTACAAAGATCCTAGGGCTTCTCAGCCCAACATGGTATGAGAGTGGTTAGAGTTAAAACTTATTATTCAGCAATCCTTACATCAAAGAAGACATGTCAACCAGAAAGGAGAGGAGCTCCTCCAACGGCTCTCCCGGTACTTCTCCTACCCCACCACCTGTCTCTGGCCTACAGACAGAGGAAGGGACTACCACCAGACCAGCAGCCGGGTCCACGGAAACGCCAGCAGGCTTCGATCCAAGCATGATGGAGAAGTTCTTCTCCTTCATGTCCTTCTACGAGCAACACCAGCAAGGAGTACCTGCGCAGTCAAACAACAGCAACAACAACAACGTGACTCCTATGAGTCTCGACGGCTCATCCTACGCACGCGGGATTCAACAACAACAACAGCAGCCTACCT